ATATATATTAACGCATAAGCAAACCGTAGAGACCCGGAGTGGATTTTAATCGCATATAAGATTGTCCACTGTCGTCACGTTTGTCTGACGTTTGTCCGTCTGACCTTCACAAATTCATCGCGTCCTGTTATCGAGGGGGTCTAGCAAGGATTTGACAAATATAAAATGAGTTTCTAATTGCAACCTTGCTTGGAAAATCTCGGCTTGCACAGCTTTGTACCTGTTTCATACAATACAGCCGCACAATAGCAGCTCTCAAGCTGAAAATTCAACAAACGTTTCAACCGCTTTCAATGTTTCAGGTGGCTCCGGATGCGCAAGTAACTATTGACAAGTATCTGGCCGCGAGGAGCGAGTATTCAGCGGTTGTCCAATCCATACACAGCATGGAGGTGGGTCTTATCGGTATCGTATATGTGCCAGCACTCTGTATGTACCTATTTCTATTGCACGTTCGGTGACAAATCAACGTGCCTGTATTACAGTGTGATGAACCACACCTCTATGGCCAGTGTATTCACTTGTCTGCCTGTGAATCGTATCTCCAGGACGAAGAGCTTCTCAGTAAAGAGCGAGGGGTCAGTCTATCCCGTTGTCAACAAGGAAACTTTAAATGCAGGTGGGTCGTTTTGTGGCTCATGATCAACGCTAACCCCACCTTAGTGTCAGTTAAGCCTTTGATCAAGTGCGAATCCCCGTTCTATTAACTTCGATATTCAAATTACTGCTGATGTCAACGTAACCGACAGGCTCATTTCAAATCATGCTTTGTGTTTTGAAGGCCGCAAATTATGATTCAGCAACTTTTCAAGCGGTGTTTTTTATTTAATTCAAAGCATGCGCGGTAAATGTTTTTCTATAGTGTTACCTGCTGCATACCTCGTGCTTTGCTGACATTAACGGTATTAGATACTGAAGACTGCTGCTCAGCCCTTGCTTACATCAACATGCAAGCAGGCGCTACCTTAGGCTGAAGGAAAAGCTATCGGACCAACTATCGATATTACAGACTGATGTGGTGGAAAAGTTACAGGTGGGTTTTCTATTTAGGCACCGAAATGCGTTTGCAAATTATTACACAGACACACCTAAAGCTGAAATCACAATGACATAGCTACAAAATTGATTCAGTGTGCTACTCATGTGTTCATATCTGCAAGGAGAATCGCGAAGTGTACACACTCTTAAATATCATTTACGATTATAGGAAACTATATGAGCGTCTACTTATTGATGTATGTTGACATGAGCATAATCGTGTGCAAATCTATGATACACATGGGTGCACATCCTGTAAAGGTTACTTCTGTCAGCTCATGAAGTAGTACATAGTAGTTACAATTCAGGATATATGACATGCTGTCTGATTCGCATTCGTGAAAAAATTACTTATGTATCAATATATTCGAAAGTTGACATACCATTTGCACGCCTATGAATTTATCGATATATGTATTTAAAAAAGAAGTTATGTAAAATAAGACATTGTTTGGTTCCATATTCAATCCGTATAGCTAATAAATCTGAGGTGCGCATCATCAAAGCTGATCAAATACAATGCGGTGACATGAGCACATCTTGGATTTTAGGCTTTAGTCTGCATGTGTGCTATTGCTTATCACACACAGCTGTACTTGGCTCAATTCAATCTACCTTTCACCTATTTCCGCGCAGCTATTGGATAAGAAGCATAGCGAAATCATCACAGATCGCTTCTCGGAGCTCATCTACACTCTTCACAACACGTATGAAGGCATTGGGAACACCATTGCCACGCTGCAAGAGAAGTCAAACAGAAGCTGAAATTAGTACCTGGATACATTGCGCGGAGGATTGTGCACAGGGTCTACATAGCCTCCTTTTAGGAGCCGTTGTATCAGCAATTATCGCTATGCATGTGGCATGGGTTTGTGAGAATCAGAAGTCTCATCCCGGTCACCCGAAAACGTTTTAGCATTGTCACCCCACGACTTCGAACCTGGTGCGATACTGGTTACCGATTCTCAGTCTCTCTGTGACACGGCGAGCAGCACAATGTAGTACTCAACATTCAGAGTGCCGTTTTGGGGAGAATCACTCTCAAGGTGCTAGTTATGTGAGAGACCTACTGAAGCCTGATTACGTCGTATAACAAAGGTAATCAAGAAACGTTAGTATGGGGTAGTGCTTCTACGATGCAAGAAGTAGCACCGTTCTCTGGCGCCCGCTGAACTCGAACAAGCACTTCTTTGGACAGAATATATACCTGCTTTTCTCGCATGTCGGCTCATCCGGGATACAGTTGTGAGGAGTTGTGGGAAAGAACATCGACGGTAGATTAACAAATGAGACGTATGGTCGAACGTCTAAAGGCCAATTGTTTGCTGTGGATGGACAGATGTGGGTGGGTTAGCAGTTATTGAGAAATACTGTCCTATTGCCCACGTTGTGATGCTGAGATGGTCCCAGAGTACCGCTACTCACCTCAGAAATTGCATCTCGGCCTCTGAATATCCTTCTAAGCTGAAGCACGCGCGAACTACACGACCCAGCTTTAGGATTAAAATTACGATACGTGGCACGCGCATTTGATCCGTATGTCTATCTGGATGTTGACACATATCCGTAACACCAACTGTTAGTCTACTGCAGTACGCGGTCTGGATTGAAACTCCCACATCCGTAATATATAAACATAGTGTCTATGACCAATAAAGTGTGAATCTTAGCCGATGATCTGCACTGACCATTGCGATCCCGTTCCCACAATATTGTTTCCATTGTGGATTAACGTTCTTATCTGAGCTGATTTGAGCGCAGGTGAGCGTTGGCTCTACAACGAAATACTGGAGTGGTTGGTGATAGTTTTTTCTTTGTGCATATTCTCGTACAAAGCTGTATGGTGTAAAAGGCTTTGACTCTCTCAGCGTATAAGTTCGTACCATTGTTTTGCCCTAAGAATGGCTAATGCTGGACTAATACGGAACAGTGTGCTTACGTTGTGGCAGGTGGGGGTCAAGTTCACATGTAGTCGTATAAGCCGCACGCTGCTATCGGTAGCGATCGGAATATATGATGTAATAAGAGCACATATACTACAATCAAACTGTAGTTATATTGCAATTCATGCAAATGCATATTGAGGTGTGGCTTAGCTCCTTTCACACAACCCATAGTAGAAATACAACAACAGTGGGCAAGACATATCTCGATCCGTAAAAGAATAGGAAGTACAGATGCGATTAAGATTATACTTTATTGAATTAGTGCAGACTACTTAGCAGGGATCTCGTTATCAGTATTGGCTATCTCGTGCGTGATTAAATTTCCAGGAGTAGAGGCATCGTCACGAGTTTTAGCATCCACTTCAGATCCGGAGCCCTTGGGGAGAGAAACATCCATCCTTGTATCAACTGGACGAGTGCTGTCTTCTCCTTGAACTCCTCCATGATCAGTACTAGGCACATCCTCTGAAGCGGCTCCTTCTTGAATATCTCCTCGAGATGAAACACCTTTATGAGCAGTACTATTCTCGTCACTGTTCGTATATTCGTGTACAGGTGAAGTGACGTCATTCTGTGGACTGTCTTCCTGGATAGAACCACCTTCTCGAGCAGATGAATCAATCTCCATATTCTCTTCCATAGCATCGGTATCGTTTATAGTACTATCCATGAAGTCGATGTCGTCTGGTATCGCAAATCTGGGCTTCGCTATAGTGACCATCTGGCAAAGTGACAGCCCCAGTTTACCCAGATGTGGCGTCCATCTATATTGAGTAAACATGCATAGTGTTCAGAAACGTGTCAATAAATCAGGTACAGAATTGGGTTCGTACGACAGGAAGGCACGACCACATTAAATCCTCCGAACGCTGAGGACGATAAAAATAATGAATGAGAAGTATAGAAACAGAATAATAGACAAATTGGGTATGCTATGCTGATAAATACTACCTGCGTGATTGCCTCTCCTTATTGTTTTGATCCAGCAGATCAACAAGTCCCATAGACCGCAGGGCGCACTCGTATTCAGAAGTCAGAACCGCACGATCTAGGCGGTAACAATCAGCACCCACAATATTCAGGCACTCGAGGACTTCGTTGCGATGATCCTTCAAGCTGCAGATTGTAAAAACATTTATACATATACTGTTAAGGCTTGCATATATAGGAACATAAAGAGTACACACGGTAGAGTATGTTGACATAAATAATGACGAAAACAAAGGTGCGTGTATTGAGGCACGAATAGTGTATCCAGACAATTCAAGTTCGAGTATAGCTTTGACAGCATGAACTTTAAACTGTGTGCTAACTTTTCTAGGCATAGTGATCTATACATGTTATAGAAGTTGATATAGTGAACAACGAATATGTAAGAACATGTACATCAGATCACTTGCTTATGAAATTCTACCTACTGTCATACGCAAACGCTCACGGAACAATCACGCTACATGTGTACATTGAAGGAACAACCGGATGTTTCATGCTGCCAATCGAGTACTCTTTATCATACCATGTTAATAGCTCCTCGAACAATCGAGCATCGCTAATGAGAGTTTCATGCATTAAAATTGTCACTTGATGTTTGAACGACATGAATAATTTGGAAAGAGTTGCGGACTTTAAGGTCGGGACAGCTGATGGATACCATTGACTCCACGATTAACATATAATTAATCGAAATATATTGGCTCAGCACAATCAATCCAGCCGACTCGCATAAGCACAAAATACGACAAGGCGGTGCGATTGGACAATGCACCTGTCGCGTGCTCCAGTATATACTAACTGGATCCGCACAGAACTAAGATAACGAACCGCACACACGTGTACCTGTCGACTGTTTTGGAGACCAAAAAATCCTCCGTTTTTTCTGAATTTCCAAGGGTCTTTGAGTGTGTGACACGACTGTACGTCCATTTTGCGCACTGGATGAGGGCAGAATCTATCATCATTTCACTGTCCACATGTTCGCGGAGCTCCTCAACGCGCTCTGGCTCCACCCACAAATTGACGGCTGCAGGATTTTAGAACCGGAAAAGAGAACCGTTAAACGCTCAATCATTTAAAATGATACAATCATCCTATATTCGCTTTCAGTCATAATCTGATCCGCATCTAGCTAATTACAATTCCATGATATGTCAAACCAACGACCGAATCTGTGACAGTATTTGATTTAGTCCAACCCTGAAAACCCAGTAGATGTAGAGAAAGACAATCCAACAAAAACAGAGGTTTGATTCCCACACCAGAGCCTGCGGTAGGATCTATGGCACTACTGCCAGAATTGCTGCCTTCACTTGTTCCGCTCGCACAGTTATCGATATCGTAATCGAGAATGGTGTGCATCCAGGGGTGCCTAAGTCCCTCTGGTGTGACCAAAGTGTCGCACTCGGACACACAATCCATCATTGCGCACAGGTCGTCGAGTGTTGTATCGCGTTGTATGCCTGTCTCTGTGGATTTGAAGGTGACCATATGTTTTAACGTAAATGAACGTTCCACCAACCGCAAACTCACACAAAGGAGGCGAGCTATCTCATATAACCCACTCGCCTACCTCCATTACTTACCTGCTTACCTTCGTCCCCGACATGGTTATGTCCGAACAATTGAACGCAAAGTATCAAATTGAAGTCTGGCATATAATACTAGATTAATTCAAACTATTTTCGAACATCTCAACCGAAGCTTTGCCTCACCTTTACACTGAACAGCTGGATTGGAAGATACGGATTCTGCCGCTGTGTCCAACACAGTATACAAACTTTTCCAAAAAGGTCTCGGGCTATTGTGTTCAGAATGAAAATCGCGGCACATAGTGCGCCAGATGTCGTCATCGGGAGCGAAAAGATCCTGCAGTATATATTGCATAAATACTTAGTGAGTAGATAAATATTGAGTTCAGACTGCTTCGTTCACCGCACTATGCCAACACCAAACTTTTTTGACAAATACATCAGCAAGAAAATTGCGAAGTGAACTTTCGTTCCTGATTCAAATTATCAATCCGCGAGCAGAACGACGTGGAAGTTTGCACCAGCCGTCCCATACCTGTGATTGGCGACATTTGAGCGATGTCAATCGCTCGGCGAATCCATCCTTGCCGTATTCGAATTGCTGCGCGGAATCTTGCACAAGTGTTTCATTCTGGGCCGCATCTTCCTCCGCAGTGGAGTCCGCGGCCATTGCATTATCTACTGAGCTGCGACAATTATCATCGGTTGGTGCCTTTACTCCAAATGTGAATGTTATCTTTTTCAAATTCTTGACTGACCTTGACTTCGACTTTGACTTCAACTTTGCCTTCGAAAATATATACACCTTCCCGCCTTTGTTTTGATCTTTGTCTTTTCTACCACCCTCTCCGCTATCCACCACCACTTCAGGCGAAGACTCGCAGAGATCTACCTCAACTTTAGCGTTCATTTTACCTATATATGGTACTTGTTCTGGGACATTGTGAGGTGAATCTGTTTCCGTAGTATGTTTCTGTGTACCGGGCAATACATTGTGTCGAGTGGGCTGGAACCAGAACTGTAGTGTGTTGATCGCTCGGCGGATGTCTCTGTTGGACGTTCTGACGAGATTCTGCACTTGTCGCGGACTCGCACTGACTCCAAAAGAAGCACATATAGCCTGGCAATACAACCCCAAATCTTTCACAGTGGGACTGTTGTAGTGGCAAGGTAAGTACCGCATTTGGAATGGAAGCAAATCCCGAACTGTTCCTATATGAGAAAAAGGGAAGGGGGGGCTATAAAGTGAGTTTGAGATATTCCTTCTGGCAGACGGAAGGCAGCGAAGGGCTTTACCAGTTAATCATAAGAAATACTACACATACTATATTCACAAAGCTTGCCTGTATGATGGTTCGGTGTCAGTGTCATAACAATGGGTCTCCTGGAAGACTTGGCGAGTGCCAGTACGGTGTCCCAAAAGCCTTTGTCCTCGTTGTCAAAGACCACGTCAACATCCTTGATCAGTATTATCGCATGTTTAAGCTTTCGTTTGGTATCCTCTGACGAGTGTAGACCACGTGTTAGGAGTGACAACATTCAAGAGAAATTAGGATTTTGTTGTGTGGTACAACTACAACTATAGAAGTCCAGAATTAGCGTAAACGTAAACGCCAGGAGCACAGCATACAGCTTCTCAGAGTATCATGACAACGGTAAACCATCAGCTACACGATGTTATAATTTGCATACAGTCCCACCGAACATTAGCAACCGAGGTGAGCTGCCCGTTTGCTCACATACTTTGTACTATGGAGGAGATATCACCAAGTATACTCCCATCCGCCACACTTCCTGTTTGCTGGTATAGCACTCGCGACTGTGTTGCCTCCTTACACACATCCATCACGGTCTTGCCAGTGCGCCTCATGGATGCATTGATCTCTATCACTTGCATGCCCAGCTCTTGCGCACAGGCGTATACAGATGCTAAATAATCGGCAACGTAGAATAATCGAATGATAAGCGTTCCTACTGTGGAAGGAGTGTGTGTGTGTGCATTTTGCGATGGGCAGCAAGTCCTTTGAGTAGCCTTGGAATGCGCTCTGTTTGGGTATTTAGAGACGCGGCTACTGCCTGCTGTGGACAAGCTATTTTATTTGATTGTGCAACACTGTCAAACAAACAGTAATCGATAGCAGCCTGTCAGTGCATCCGGTATCAAAGAAAAGCGAAAATTAATGTGCTTCCATCTATAATCGGTATTGCTTGCCGCTGGGTACAACCATACTATCAATTATAAACACTTAGAATATCAAAGCAACAAAACATTGTGCGAACAATCCCACCTGTTTTGCCCGATCCAGAGGGCCCCGAAAGTACAGTAACGGTATGCAGTGTCACCTCTCCCAGCCTGTCTGACGTAAGACTTGGCTTGTTCCATTCATTGAAACTGTCGTCACTCCATGCGCCCGGATCTTCACCGTCGTTGATGAAGCTTTCCTTGCGATTTCGCTTGCTTCATATTCAAAAAAGAATACGGGTAGGCTAAGCTTCATACATATGCAAGATGAGTTTTTCTCATTTGAACGTGACCATTTATGACCTTGTAACAAAGCAGAACATCGTATGTCTGACCCCAATAGTTTGTACTAGAGTCGGAGGCAAGCATCCAATCGATATAAACCGAAAATTGCGCATACATGCTAACCGTGTGTACATAATTGAAGAGAATGTATATGAATCAATACCACTTGGGTACACGCTGACAACTGTGCGATTACCAGATCCAAACGATCTTTCCCATTACGCAACTTATATTTTGACAATCAGACGTGCTGATTCAATTCTACCGTGAAGTGCACCTGGGCAAGGTACATAGCTTTCGCTGCGAACATCGATACCTTTTGATTTCATCTGCATTGTAGTAGAACATGTCAGGAGCAAATTCCAATTCTGGTCCGAAGACAAAATCCTCCTCTAGTATGTCCTCCGGTTCAGGAGTATCTTCTATGAGATTCCGCCTCGCTTTTTTACGTTTTGGTTTTTTTGGCGATTTCGGGATGGGTTTACCCATCTGAGGATCATTCCATTCCTTAAAAAAACGACAATGGATATAGAACGTTGATACTTCGAACCAAAACTCAATTGTGAAATATATATGAATTCGTCAGTCTACCCGACTGCCCCTGTTTGGGTTGCTCAATGTACGTTTGATTCCTACACCCATGATAATGTAAACTCTCGATGAGCAAAAGCAAGCGATTCAACTACTGTGTGTATTGTTGTACGCATACCTTCAGCCATGCTCGGAGGTATTGAGCATTGCGATTGTTTGAGGTGCCCACTATGCAACCAACACGTGTGGGGCGGAAGATATGAGCCCATATATTATGTTGATTAACATCTTTGCTGGTATCCGTCTGGGAATCTGACACCTGCGCGGATCGAACTGATGTATAAGTGACTTGCGAACGCAAACAGAATCAGTATCCCAATTCTGCTGCGGATCAGCTGCATGCATTGAGAATCATGGAACTGGAGCACATCCTACGGGAGCACTGGTGGAGGATCGCTGTGAATACCTGGTGAATCTCAAGCTTCCTACGTTAGAGAATCGCAACTTCAAACATACCTCTATGTGTGCATTCATCTTCTTTACAGTCCTAAATAGGTGCTTGACCCTCTGTATGGGGCAGTCATACGCCTGTGCGACAGCAGCCACTGCTTGATCGTAGTTTATTTTCCTTCTTGGTTGTGGATGATCCACGTGGTGTTGATTTGTGTCTTTACATCGTTCAGCCTTTAAAAACCGACCGGTGGTGATTCTGTATGTAGTTCAAGTCGTTCGTGTGCGGTGATGAAACATAGGCATTTAGCCATAAAAAACAAACCAATTTACCATTCTGTAACATGGCAGCACGCATGGAAATCTCCACACGATATTGGGAACTGGAATACCCAACATAAATCACCCACTGGGCCGATGAGTAACTCGGTAACTACAGTATTCGCTAGCTTGGCAGACCCTATAAAAGTACACAGCGCCACACATCACTTTTCTTACATACTGGTTATACTGACACGGTATGACTGTTACAGTACGGTCGCGTCGTGGCCACCGGTCCATCCCCTCCGGAAGAGCCAGAGAGCAGTAAGAGTGCAACTGCGGCACTTGCATTGCTGATGTTCTACAAAATGCTGTGCTTTCGTCTGGGTTTGGTTCTTTAGATGCCGCACACTCTGAACACTGTCGAATGTGGGAGTTCGTTGGGAATTGCGCTGGTCGCAAAACGGGTGTGTCGTTGGAGACGATGATGTCACCTTTTTCGTATTTTAATTTCTCTGCGCATATGCAATAGTGCAACCAGGTCATGAGAACATACGGACCAAGAGTGTCGAATACTATCTACACTTTCGCAACGATGGAAAGCCCAAACATACGGACCAAGAGTGTCGAATACTATCTACACTTTCGCAACGATGGAAAGCCCAAGAATATATTTTAAGTGCTGATGGCACCTATAGGTCATATGAAAGTACCACACGTGAAAGTTATAAAACTCATATTGTTGTATGACGAGATCAAAAAAACATACCGACTATCACACTGTTCTGTTGCAACGCTTTCCTGCCGAGCGCCATGTTTATATCTACTACACCTTCCGCTTGTGATGCATGCATAGTTTGTCTAAAACGTTCGTCAGTCCGCCGCCTCTCCTCCAACTCCTTTTGTAGTTGCCTTTGGCTCTGCAATTGAATGAGTTGCGCGAATTGTCAGTACCCGCCACGACTGTGAGGGATAGATGCCGTGAGGATGTAGAATATGGGTGTGCATGGTACATTCTATGTGGAAATGAACGCCCTGGGAGTGTCAGCTCATTTTGTTAATTTTTAAGTTTGAAAACAAGAGGGTACGGATAGTGGTTCCGAACATACAATAACTCTGTATTTTCAACGTTCGTATGTGCTACCTACAACCGGACTGTTTCCAAGTAAGCACTGCTATCCCTACTCGTTACATATCAACGATAGAGCCCGTGCTACTACTGTGTACTGGTCTCACTTTTTAGTTGTTGTAAGCAATACGTACCGCTTTCATTGCGCGTTGTTGCTTTTGTTTCTTGGTTAGAAACATGGCCGGAATTGCATCGACATCTGCGTGGAAAAATGGTAGGAAACAACCAATGGGGTGAACCGATATCCTTTTAAATATCCTCCGTTAAGTATCATTGCTAAATGAGCAAAGTTCCGCCTATACGAACTTCCGTCGCGCACATCATTAGATGGAAAATGGCAGATTGACCGAAGAGCAGTATGCACAATTGATAGGGAAACCAAAGGTTGCATAATCAGAATTTGTAACTTCGGCAATAGCTGCGAGCGTAGGCCAATTTTCAAGCTGATACTCTCCATTTCACAGACGTAAAGCCAACGAGGAAGTACTATAAGAGATCGTAGCTTGCCATATAAAAAGTATATTAGCTGCCTACCAATGGGTGCATTCTCCGCTGCTTTTTGTGCATTTGGTTTCTGTGTATCATGATTCTCTTTCCCTCCAACGTCTGCAACAAAGATAACATCGTCATCACTGTCAATGTTGATCGCACCGTCGAGTGCTGGAGTCTTCGAACAATTTACAATCGCACCTAAATTTGAAGAGAACAGCATAGTGTCGATATTCAGTACTGTGCACTGACATGAGCAAGCAGATGTAAATATTCGCGTCTGCAGATATATATATCATACTGCATTCATCACTACTATTGAAGTGGTGCAATAGCCTTTCATGATAAAAAAATGTACAAGCCAGCATGCATGTGAGTATACAAGAACCTATATGCGTGTAGCGCATGTGTACGTCACTTAGGATGTGCATATGAACTACATATAAATATAATCGTCAGTAATCTAATATGCAGTTGATATATGCCGAACATAACTAAATACTTATGAAATCACATCTATGCAAAGATGTAACTGTTATGTGTGTTATGTGTGTCTGTAGGTGCACGCATATAAACATATATACTTTATATATAATTATTATAAATATGTATATACACGAACTATAGGAATATTTACCTACATATAAAGGTAATATATATATATATATATATGTGTGTGTGTGTGTGTGTGTGTGTGTGTGTGTGTGTGTGTGTGTGTGTGTGTATGCGTGTCTATATACATGCTCATATATACGAGCATGTTGACTTACATATTTTATATACAGATACTTAGATATATATATGTACCCCAATATGCATGCGTTGCCGCTTGTTCCAGAGCATACAAGCATAATCGACTATATATACTCAGATTGTCTCGACGCATATATTCATCGCACCATGAAAAATCGAAAGTAGTCACAGGATCTATACCATGAACCATGGTATACTATTGATTTCGGAAATGACAGGTCGTACGAACACTACGCACCTGTTCTGATTCTTGTTCTGATAGGTGAATGAGCATCTTGCGTCGGCTTCTTTGCATTTCTCGTGTCCTCTGCAGTCACCTCTTCCACCGTCTCTGTTACTACGATAGTTGGCGGGGCCCACAGAGATAAGAGTGTCCGCGAGTTAGTTTCGGTAGTCAAATTCTTCTTCCTCTTGGTTGAAAATTTTGTCTCTTTCCCTGCGTTCTTCGATTTCCCGGCGACTTTTTTCTTAGACACAGTTCTTTCTGATTTATTCATATCCTCTCCTGTAGAATCGACCTTCTCGTCTTTCCGGCATTTCGCTTTACCTTTGACCATGTTGCGGGTCGATGCCCTTTTCCGTTTTCCAGATGGAAGATTCTCGGCCAATTCGACTGATGGTTTGATCACGGACGCAGCGCTCATGATGCGTATTGCATACTCACCAGGTACACCAATGTCGTCAAACCTTGCACAAATACCGTTCGTTCAAATACGGATGGGTCTAAAGTGGATGTAAACGCTTGACAGCGAGTTTGAACTCTGCCTAATAACCCTTTAGAGAGGTATGGAAGGGGAATTTCGCTTGGCTCAGGAAGAGATGGTGTTGCTAGTAGCAGCGGTTGTCTTTCTTTATGTTCGTTCAGACCTTATAACGTAGTCTCCTTCAGAGAAGTTCAGACAAAGTCACTTATCGATCTTGAATATATAAAAATTGTGTTTTTTGAAATTGGTCTCTTTTATTTATGTGTACATACAAATAAACCCCGCCCAATTTGTAACCAATCAGCTCTACCGATTCTCTATGAATCCGCGCTAAAATCTGTACATACATATTTATGTGATATGTATGTGTATAAAACAATAAATAATTACAACTTTCAAGTTTCAATTTTTAAGCGATTCTTCAGGCCTCAGGCCTCAGCTCTGTGTCTGAGCCCTCAGGCCCCAGCCCCCACGACCTCACCCCTCAACCCCTCAAGGCTCAAGCTAAGTCCTCATTTCTCGGCCTCTGTCCTCATGCATCAGCACTCAGGACTCAGGCCCTCCAGCCTCTGACCTTGGGAAAGTTGGCCAGTCAGGAGGCTCAAACGGCTCTCTCACTAGTCTGGTGTGCCCCGGGTGCTTTTCTTTAAAATGAAACGACCACTTGTATCTACCATACTATAACATGTTTAACCCTGTATTAGAATCGGTAAATATATCTACGGATATAAAGGCCATTTGGCGTTGGGCAATGGGCAACATCAAAATGAAAGTTATCAATTCTCAATCTCTCAAATAAAAGGGCAGTCCGTTATACCGATCAATACGGTGTCATCGATAAATATCACCTTGTTCCGTGAGCCATTATCAGGCTCTTCGGTATGTAGAGGATTCAATAAAGTTCACTTATCACCGCAATACATACCCCACAATACACACTACATCGCATATCGGTGTACCTCATAGACGCCCCCCAGCCACACACACACTACAATACAATAATAATGCACAATCAACCCAAATCAAATTTCACACGCAGCAAACGTATACAATCAAAAAAGATAGACTCGCAAAGGCTCAGAGCAGGCCTGATGGGGTAGTCATGGATACTTGTCTGACATGTCAGAGTGAGACTTCTGTGAACTGATAGAAAAACTTATCAGATAGGCGACAATCGTGCAAGACACTGATCGCATCCGAAAAGAATGCAAACGTGTGAGAATGCACCCAATCAAAGCCATCGAGGACCACGATTCCAAGAAGGAATAAAGTAATAAAAAGAGCTCGTGTAGCACAGTAGTTTAAACCTGTTCACGTAAAGCAATTAACCATCACCGACGAAAGCAAGGTGCAGGATATACACGAGAAACTCTGAGCAGTTCGGTGGCTGGAGGCTAGTTTGATAAGCATGACAGTAGACATTGTGAATGTACACACTGAGAAAACGTCGTTTTAAAATGCAAAAGATACTACTTACACACTTTATTCTTTAACTTTAATTCCAATGAGACCACAGACTACACATAGACATACAAACTACTGGCAATGCACACATACGTTCAATACATTAGTGGATTTAAGATCTTATCATACATGCATGGACCGCAGTGACAGTGGTAACTGAGCTAGCCCTGCCAGTCAAAGTACAAAACCAAAATATAATTTGATGCACGAGCACAACGTGCAGGTTCAACGGAGATATATGATACGAACTACGGCGAACAAAAGCGTATAATTGCTTTGAGGTAATTCCGACCTCCCAAGCAAAATAACTTATACCTTTAGGCATGAATATCTTACTGTATCTGCTCATTGTTTACCTAGCAAGAATAATCAATCTACTGGATCAACTGATGCCCAACGAAAATAACTTCACTGACGCTGTACAACACCACATGGAGAAAGAAATTCAAACCCCGAGCAAGAAGGTTTTAGGGTTTAGAGCGTATCAGTCATTCACCTTATTTACTACAGCATCAGTACTAGATGGTTTGGTTCGGTCATTCACCTTATTTACTGCAACACTGGAAAGTGTCGCGAGTCGTTTGATCTTAGTTCGAACTATAGATCCGCTCCTGGGAAATTTTTCTGAACCCATACACGCTGGATCACCTCTCTTGAGCGAATTTCGCCGATCCTTCCGCACTAGACAATACTGATGGTTTGTAGTATCTACACAAGGTGAATGGCTTAATCAACCAAGTTAATACTAGATTTGTTGCTTTGTTTACTAGTTAATTACGCTATTTAATGGATACAAAATTGAAGAGATTGGTTGACTCAGTTATTCATCTACTTTACTACGGGACCAGTATCATCACAAATTTACCAGATACAAGATTCAAACTCGTGACCTTTATGGTTTTGTGGTAAAAAAGGTGAGAGACTACACATTTTACAGCAAGAAACCCTCTTTGATTTGTAGAAGTCATCAGAGTTAGCTCACTTTCCAGAGCTAACTAAGTTGCTTAAATTACTCCCGAAAGGTGAGTTAATATTTAGCCGACTCCCGAGAGCAGGTTTAGTTCCTCAACCGACTCCTAAGGGTGGGTACAGGATTAAGTCTATCAATCGCAACATTCTAAAAATAGCTGTGGTTCTATGTGAGTCACAACTTATGCGAAAAGACATCATGTGCTCAGCGTGAGATTTAGTTGCAGAGAAGTCGAAATAGACCCGCTTCAAATTGTGAAAGTGCTCTGCAAAAGGTTTCTCATACTGAGCATATCATTTTTTTACCCTGGCCAGCCCAAGCTGCTGAACACTGGCACGAACACCTTAGATATAAAACCAAAGGTGAGATCGGAAATAAATACATACATTTGCACTTTATTTAAAGTCTACCACATTGCACTCTAACAATGACTGAGCCAGTCAACCAGAGCAAAGTCATTTCACAAGGACACAAATGATAAGCTGATTAGTTTCGTTAATGAGGATTCGCTCCCACCCCCCACCGCCCCCCCCCAGCTTTATGCATGTTCATAAATGTCAGTATGCGATATCCTTCAAAACTTGATCTTGTATGCGTACACAAAGTACAGTAACTTTCTCAAACGGCATAGACTGTAATTTTTGTTCACGTCTAATGGTGTCTTAGAACCTGCTTGTTTTTGTAAAGCCTATCTGTGAAAGCCCATTGGTATATGAATCTGATCTAACTCATGTACAAATCGCGCATTCTTATCCCACACAGTCCAATATAAATGCATGTAGCTGTATCTTTTGCTCCTTGTGGTTTTAGTCGGCTATTCGTTGAGCGCCCGTTTGTCTTATGTCATTGAGCATGTTTTTATAGTCTTTCGCATTAGATGTACGAATTAGGCCCTGTAACGCGTGTGTGTCTTATATGCGTCCCTCCGCTTCTGCTTGTATCATTCATTGAAAACGATGAAAGACTTGCATTCTCATCCATGCCGCTATAAACTCAGTGATACAAATATATGTAGACTTTGGTAGCTTGCAGCGATTTAAAGCCTGCGAGTTTTTTTAACTATCGATCGTGATGAACAGGAAAGTGTTTGCAATATGTGTTAGCAGCATCCTGACAATGCTCCTTCATCTCTTCCGGTTAACATGGACGAGGCGGCGTTGTAGCTTGTCACGAAATAAGTTCGATCTGCTTCACATTAATTAGGACATGGTTGCCGGGAAGATTTTATCGTTCTACGGAAAGCATCAGAAGAACACTTTGCCGACGACAACACTTTTGCGGAGTGTCCATTCCAAAAAGCAAATCCGCTGGTTCTAAATAAATTCTGTCAGGGTATTTCACCATAGATGCTCGCTCCTGAGTATTACTAGGGCCAGTAAATTCTTCCAGCATCTCATCAAGTGTCGGATTTTTTTGTACTCTACTCTGAGTCCTGCGGGTAACGTTCACATTATCGTAGGGATAATACTATTTATTTCAAAAAGATAAGTTACAATGTATGTTCAAAAAAGATAGGTTACAATGTATGTTTCAAAAAAGATAAGTTACTTATCGTAGGGTGTCACTAAAGGTATAGACTTCGTGCGGCCAATTCTGCACTTCGCTGGCCGATTTACTTCATGCCGTCAATTTCGCTGTTAGGTACACGGCCAGTTGGTGTTGTCCGTGCCTGTGATCAGTATTAAGGAGGTCAATGTGATTGCGATGGTGGTGCTACCTGTTGCATAGAGTAGTTATACTCGGATGCCGTCTAGACCGTCTCATTGTCGGACATCGATCCATCGTCCGCCGTTGAAGCACATGAGTTAACTGAAGAATCTCCGTGACCTCCTGTACATGCGTCGGCATTCCCAAGTGATCATCCCAATCAGCGCTATTCAATGTAGAAATCGAGTGTTGGGCTTCAAAAACTAACCGAGTCAGCGTAACGTGGATCTTTGCATTAACTTCTTCCTCATGCCTTATCACAGATCAAAGGCAGTTGACAATGAACTCCAAACAGTCGCTTCCATAGTCGCTCACATGCTTTCTTGCCCACCTCAGGTATAGATATTATAGCATCTAAGGACCAGAGTATCAAAAAGCCAATCCGAACCCCAAAACCACAGCATCATCAAATATTCAGTTTTGGGTCCGGATTCAAATATTATTGATATTACAGTCACCAAAAATATTACCGGTAGAACCGTTAAGCTAAACCGGGACCCCGCATGTGAAAGAAACGCTCAAGTAGAAACCCGAGTCTAGCGAAGTAGAAAACATAAATAAAGACTCAGTCTTTTCCTAGTAGAGATAACCGTACTGGATAAGATGTCTGTCGTTTCTTTTGGCCGTACCGTTCCAGCCAATCTCTACACTCTACACACACAGCTTACATTATTTGACAAAATATGCAGGAATCACCATATTTTGATCAAAAACAGGCACACCCAGCTATAAAAATCTCGGCGGTATAAGCCACTGAAGAAATCAGAAGAGCAAGACACAGTCCCATACGATGACAGAGCGACTCTTATAGTACAATGCCACACAGT